GGTTCACTTCGTTCGGGAGCTCCCGAGCGAAGTGAACCCCACCCTCCCCCTCAGAAATCGTGGGGGGTAGGGGTAGGGTTCGCATGTGGCCCCCTGATGAAGACGGAAGGTTTTCAGGAGGGAAAAAACACACAGGCACAATTTGTCGTCGATGCCATCGAAAATAGGGGAAAGTATGGGAAGTGGGGGGGGAGACAAAAACCCAGAGAATATTAGAAACTATGGGGATTCCGGTTAGTTGTGTATATTCATTTGTGTGTCCCTGGGCCCCTTCAGGTTTTCTCGATTTTCGGCCTCCAGGGGCCCTCGCTGGGCCCCGGGACCGTCAAAAAAGGAGGGATGAAAAACCGGTCTTGGGGAATGGGTCGAGACTTCGGGGGACCGCGTATTGAAAAATCACGACACCGGATCTCTGGGGGGGTCGCGGGGAATATCGATCGGAGCAACGATAGGGGGGGATAGGCATAGGGGGGATGCATCGACCCCCGATCGCCTTTTGATCGCCGATGGAGGCCCGGTGGCCCCAACCTGCCCATGAAGGTGCGGATTCACTATCGGAGGCTCGTCTCTCCGATCTGTCGCCGATGTGTCGCCGATCCCAGGTCGATGCATCCCGCTAAGCCAGTCCCCCCCTATCGTTGCCCCTTACTGGGTAGTCGAAGGCCAGACTGTCAGATCGGATTGGGCCCCCAGGGCCAATCTGGCCCGGCCAAACTGGATGATTTGGGTTATTCGCCAGACTGGATTCGCGTTGGCTCCCTCGCCGGATTGCCCCCGTTTGCCAGATTGGGCCTGCCAGATTGGCGCCAGATTGGCTTCGACTACCCAGCCTCAATCGAAGGAGGACAAACGGCACAAGCATCAGCTTCTGGCGCTCCGCGTGGAGTTTGTTGGCTCCACGCGGGGCCTCCCAAGCGGCGCCCCTGGCGCGCCGCCCCCCGGCGCGCTCCGCGCGCCAGGGAGGTGGGCCCGGCGCAGGTCCGAGACGTTCGAGCGGAGCGCCACGAGTTTTGGTTTGTGCCGCTGGTTCGCCTTCTGGATACTCCAGATTTCGTAATAAAAGGGAGGGGTTCTGGACCCTCCAAGACAAGCCATTTCAGATCCCCCCCCGTGGGAGAACCCTCCAAAACATCGTCCCCATACCACCCCAGGCCCTCCAAGATAGCCTGGAAGAGACCCCCCCCGAAATGAGACCCCCCTCCCTTTTATTACGAGATCTGGAGTAGGCGCGCGGCGAGGAGGACGACGGCTTTTGGACGTCTCGTCGTCTCCTCGGGGCGTCCCTGCTTCGGGGCGCGGTTCCAGCAGCTGCGCCTCGCCGCGGGCGTGCCCGGGGTGCCCTGGCCGTGCCGAGCGGCCGTTGGAGTCCCAAGGTATGGCGATGTACTCTGTGTCCCTCAATAGTTTTGGGGCCCCGGACTACAGGTACCCCCCGGACTACAAGTACCCCTCCCCCGGACTACAGGTACCCCCCCCCCGGACTACAGGTACCCCCCCCCGGACACTACAGGTACCCCCCCCGGACTACAAGTACCCCCCCCCCGGACTACAGGTACCCCCCCCGGACTACAGGTACCCCCCTAGCCCCCGGAACTACAAGCCCCCCCGCGTTCGCTTGCGTGTGCGTGCGTGTGCGTGCGTGCGTGCGCGCGTGTGCGTGCTTGTGTGCTTGCGTGTGCGTGTGTGCGGTTCCGTGCGGTTGCGTGCGCGCGTGCGCGCGTGCGTGTGAGTCTGTGCGTGCATGCGCGCGTGCGCGCGGGCGTGTCGTGTGCAACGATGCGCGTGAGGTCCCTCGCGCGTAAATACTAAACACCCGCGTGCGTGGAACCACGCGTGCTTTGAGGCATGACCATATGCCCCCCCCCCCCCCGGACTACAAGTACCCCCATGCGCGCCCCCCCCCCCGGACTACAGGTCTACAGGTACCCCCCCCCGGACTACAAGTACCCCCCCCCGGACTATAGGTACCTCCCCACCTCGGACTCCAAGTACCTCCCCCCCGACTATAGGTACCCCCCCTCGACTACAGTACCCCCCCAGCGGAACTACAGTACCACCCCCTAGCCCCCGGAACTACAAGCCCCCCCGCGTTCGCTTGCGTGTGCGTGCGTGTGCGTGCGTGCGTGCGCGCGTGTGCGTGCTTGTGTGCTTGCGTGTGCGTGTGTGCGGTTCCGTGCGGTTGCGTGCGCGCGTGCGCGCGTGCGTGTGAGTCTGTGCGTGCATGCGCGCGTGCGCGCGGGCGTGTCGTGTGCAACGATGCGCGTGAGGTCCCTCGCGCGTAAATACTAAACACCCGCGTGCGTGGAACCACGCGTGCTTTGAGGCATGACCATATGCCCCCCCCCCCCCCGGACTACAAGTACCCCCATGCGCGCCCCCCCCCCCGGACTACAGGTCTACAGGTACCCCCCCCCGGACTACAAGTACCCCCCCCCGGACTGCAGGTACCCCCCCCCCGGACTACAGGTACCCCCCCCCGGACTACAAGTACCCCCCCCCGGACTATAGGTACCCCCCCTCGGACTACAGGTACCCCCAGAACTATTGAGGGACACAGAGTACTGTTTATTTTGTTGCTCGGTGCAGCGCTCATTGGTTTTGGAATTATTCGCTGTCGTCTGCGCTGTAGGCAGTTTCAGCAAGAATGGTGACGAGCATGAAGAATGTAGGCCCCAACACCGAAAACCTCCACAACCCAGTTTTTTTCGAGTAAAACCCTTCATACCAGTACAAATCATACCCAAAGCCTGTCCATACCTAAACTTCCATCCCAAAGCCCCTTTCTAGCTCCTAAGTCCTTCCCAGCCCAGGCGGATTCTTTGTCAAAACCTTTCTTAGCACCCAAATGATTTCCAGTCCAAGTGTCTTCTGTGTAAGTTCCCTCGTAACCCCAGAAGCCTCCCAACCCACTGCGTTTTCTATCCGTCCCAGTCCACGCGTTTTCCGTGCAAATATCATCCTAGCCTCAAAATCTTTCCCAGCCCAGCCGTTTTCTTCATTCAATCCTTCACAGCCCCACAAATCATCCCAGCCGAAGCATTTTCTGTGCATTATTTCCTATTGTTTCTTTCGCTACGTTACCATGTCGCCCAGGCGCAGGCCATGTCGCGACTACAGAATGCCCGCTAGGAATCCATATTCTCTGTAGCGCTTACAGTGCAGCAGCCACAGCATTTCAGTCAACCCGCATAGTAAGGATGGGCAACGTTCCCAAGGGTACCCTTGCATCCTTGCCTCCTCGGTCCATCCTTTGCCACTTTCGTTGGCCCAGTCCATCCTTTGCCACTTTCGTTGGCCGAGCCCCGCTCGAAAGGCTTCGAACTGGGCGTCCAAGGCCCTTGCATCCTTCTTGCACATCCTTATGATATACGGGCCGACCGGAATTGTTCGGCGAACTCTGAAGGTAGCGGGAACATGTATAACCATCCGCCCGAGAATCTCAAGGGCAACGATACGGAGGGATGGGCTCAGGGATGTGTGTGCATCGACCCCCCAATGGCCCGTTCAGGCCTGGAGGTTGACACCAACACCAAGATCGGCGGTGTGCCTCCACCGAGGGAAGACGATCCCGATCTCGGTGATGGTGGTCATATTCTGCCTTCCGAGGTGGCCGAAACAGCACCGCCGACACCGACATCTAGGATCCTCTTCCCCCTGTGGAGGCGCAACCCCCTGTCTTGGCGTTGGTGCCCATTTTAGGGGGCCACATGCGAACACCCTACCCCTACCCCCCACGATTTCTGAGGGGGAGGGCGGGGCTCACTTTTTTTTCGGGAGCTCCCGAGCGAAGTGGAATCCCGCCCTCCCCCTCAGAGATCGTGGGGGGTAGGGGTAGGGTTCGCATGTGCCCCCCTACATTTCCAGGCCTCCAAATCACCCATCGCCGATCGGGTTTCCGGTGGCCCGCGCCGCGCCCGGGAGCGAGCGTGGATTTTTGCAGTCTCTCGGGGGGTCCGTCGCCGATCCGTTGGCGACGTGCCGCCGAGTGCCAGCTCGACGTTTCCCCTCCCCTCGTCGAGCTGGCCCCCCCACCTGCAGTCGGTGCGCTGAAGAAGGAACCCTTTTCGTTGGGGAGGGGCTCCGCGCTCCTTAAGTGTTTCGCAGCTTGCCTCGGGTTTTCCTGATGCTTTCGATAGGGAATCGAAGTTGAACTCATGGAAAAAAGGGGGCCGCGTTCCTTATTTCGGTTCCTTAGGTCAAGCCCCCGACTGTATCGCTCCCCCCCCAGGGGGACATCGGCGTCACCCCAGCATGCTCCTACTGTGTGTGCGTCGCCCTCCCGGGGGCCACGCGCGCACCGAGAGAAATCTTATAGTATATATATGCGTCGTGGCGGGCGCTTTCTGGCAACACCGCTCGGGAAACGATATACTACAAGATGGGTATACTACATGTTCGGGTCGGACGCGCGCCTATCGCTCCCCCTCAGTGTGACATGCCGCGCGCTGCCGCTCGTCCTCGCCCTTCCTCGGTTGGCGGACGGGGCTGCCCTCGGTTTCTTTGCGGGGGGGGGGCCTATACTGCTTATGCGCGTAGCCACGGCCAGAGGTGCGCCGCCTTGAGTCTCCCGTGACGACGATGGCGATGATGATGGTACTCATGACCATGCTTTGGCCGCGAGCGAGGGGGGGGAATTTGGAAGAAGCAGGCCATCTCAGAAGGCGGTGGGCGGGGTTTCTCAGAAGCCCTCGCGCCTCCTGAGAATTTGTTTCTGTCTTCGGGGAAGGTTTAGAACACTTCTAATAAGGCTTTGGGACTTCCGAGCCTTCTGATAAGGTATTCTCCTTTCAGTCCCCCCCCGCTCGCCGCCGAATGGTGATGACGCTGACTGTGGCCACGACGGTGAGGCGATGACGACAACGGCGATCACGATTTGCGGTTCTTTTGATGAGGGCGGTGCCAAGGCGATCGTTGTGCCGTGGCGCTGAGGGTGACGACGAAGGCGATAGTGGCGATGATGGCGACGGTGACAGTGACGATGGCGACGATGCCGATGACGG